AATGGTTGGCTGGGGATTAGCATTATAGAATTGCCAAGGGTTATTACTGTGGAACCATATGGAGAATTAGGTTCAATACCACCAGAGGTAAGTCTCAATATAGTCCTGTTTTATGGATGGAGAAACAGAGAGAGAGACAGACAGCTTGAGTGACTTGTTTGGAAACATACTAGAACAGAACTCCAAAGTCCAGACTGCAAAATCCACTGCATTTTAGCTACCACGCAATGCTTCCTCTCTCTTCTCTTCAATCTTTTCCTGCAAAATCTTCCTATTTCTTTCTTCTGATATATCTCTTCATAAAATCTTTTTGTTGCCTCCAACACCACCTCCTGCTTTCCCACCCAAGCACCACCACCTTCCCACGCTGCTTTAAGTTCTCTTTTTACCATCTTCGCTCTGGCTGAAAAGTATCAGAACCACTCTTCATTTTCTCCCACCGCAGTGCTTGTGCTAAAAACATTTTCACTCCCATACCATTAAACCAAGCTTTCTATCTCTTGCCTTGTTTCTTCTAGTTCTTCTCATATCTGTCTTGCTTCTGTAGCTTCCTTTGGCAGCTCCTGCATCTTTCTTTGCGGATCTCTTAGCTCTTTTGTTCTTTTCCCCTCAGTTCTTCGATCTTCCTTCCTGAAGAATTTTCCTGTTCTCTTCTTCACCATTATCCACCATCCTCCGGTATTCAAGATATATCTTCAGTGTTCTCCACCCCTCATACCATCTTGTGTATGCTTGACATATCTCCTCATCTTGTAGCAGTTGCACATTTAACTTCCACACTCCCCTTTTCACAGGGCGGTAACCAAGGTTTAGTCCTGCCTTCAGCATCTGGCAGTTTTCTAAATGCCATAACTATGGTTTCTTTTTTCATTATCTCTCTCTTTTTTTTTTTTTTTTGTTACAAACACAGAGTCAGTTCTTGATGGGTTCTTTCCACTGGGGTCAGTTTTAGTGAAAACTTTCTACCCAGGCCACACATCTCTTAGTGACTTCTTTTGTTATATTTGCTAACAATCTGGATTAACTGTCTAAGGTTCTGTCTCTTTCCCCTGTTCTGGTACCTGCTTCTATTATGCAGTTGAAGTCCCTCACTATTATCCACGGTTTCCCTCCAACCATGTAAACTGCTTGCTTTCTAAGCAGATCCTTCTTCCCCTCCTGCTCTGGTGGTGTAACTGTGTTAAAAACTTCTATGTAAAAAACTTGCTCCCCTGACTGATAGTATCATTTGTTGCAGTCTTCCACTGTTGATGTCTTCCATCTGCTTTGCTTTCACTTCCGGATTTTTGAATAGTATTGCTACTCCAGCTGCTTTGTTTTCATTTGTCCCTGACCACCAGGACAGTCCTCATCTCCACCTTGTTCTCAAAGCACTTATAATCCCTTTCCCTTGGTATCTTGTTTGTCTTTAAGATCTGCAAGCAGCTATTATGCTCTTATCTGTTCCCATCTTCTCCTTGGTAGTATGCTCCTGACATTAATAGATGCTACAATCAGTACCATTGTGCTTGTTTTAACAAGAGTGCACCTGCCCCCTTTAAGGTTTGCTGGCGCTGCTGCTCACCTTGGTTGACTCCTCTCCCTCACCCACTCTCATGCCTGTCCCTTTTGCAAGCTGTCTGAATAGCTTGCATTCCAGAAGCCTTACATTTTCTTACGTCCTGCCTCTAGCTTGCCACTCTGGGCTGGAGCCCAGTGGAGTTAATGGTGGGAAGCTGCTCTCTGAC